ATGAGTACTGGATATTTCTGCTTCTTGCATGTTCCGTTAAGCATGTTCACATCAAAGTGAGCACATTTTCTGTCATGAATGAGCCTGAAAAAGCCTTACAACATGACTGATGTTGTAAACAGCATGCGTCATAAACTCAACTTCTCCTTTGTGATGCATGTCACACCTTTATTTTGGTGACAGTTTGCATTTGCCAAAAAAACAACTAATGCAGAAAGCAAGAATGAAGGCATATGTATTTAGATAACAAACAGCATGAGGTCATTATAGACATGCATGATTAGCAGCACCAAAGTGCAAATGCAGTCTGGTTGGAATTGGATCTTTCTGCTTCTTGTATGTTTCGTTTAGCATGCTCACCACAAAGTGAGCCCATTTTCTGTCCTGAATGACCCTGAATGACATATGTTGTAAACTGCATGCATCATAAATTCAACTTCTCCTTTGTGATGCATGTTGCACCTTTATTTTGGTGCATTTGATAGTTTGCTTTTTCCACAAAACAGCTACTGAAAGCAAGAATGGAAGCATATGCATTCAGATAACGAACAGCGTGAGGTTATTATAGACATGCATGATTAGCAACACCAAAGTGCAAATGCAATCTGTTTTTTCAGTGGCCTGACCAGTTGCATTGGATCAGGACCAAACTTAAGTGAATAAGTGAATATTGGATATTTCTGCTTCTTGTATGTTTCGTTTAGCATACCCACCTCAAAGTGAGCGCATTTTCTGTCCTGAATGACCCTGAAAAGGCCTTTGGTACATGATGACTCATGTTGTAAACAGCATGCTTCATAAACTCAACCTCTGCTTTGTGATGCATGTTGCGCCTTTATTTTGATGCATTTGCCATCGTAAAAAAACTAGCTAATGCTGAAAGCAAGAAAAGAGGCATGTGCATTTAAATAATCAATGAGAGGTCATTATAGACATGCATCATTTGATAAAAGTTCAGTTTCAAGTTCTATTTCTGTACCAATTTTTTTTGTTCCAAATGCAGTCTCTCTTTTTTTCAGCAGACTGACCAATTGCATTGGGGAAAGACCAAACTTGGCACAAATTAAATGAGCATTGTACATTTCTGCTTCTTGCATGTTTCGTTTAGCATGCTCACCACAAAGTGAGCACGTTTTCTGTCCTAAATGACCCTGACTAACTCTTCAGTAAGTGATGACTCATGATGTAAACAGCGTGCATCATAAACTCAACCATTGCTTTGTGATGCACGCTGCAGTGTGGTGCAGTTTGCAATTGCCACAAAACAGCAAGAATGGAAGCATGTTGTGGCAACGTCATTCACTGTTTTCAAGCTGTATTCAACAGGCCTGCAGGCTGAAAGACTGCCTTCTAAAACTATACACATGCAAATGATACTCCATTTAAACAAGTTTCACTTCAACAGAAAACTAAAGAGCTCAGTTTCAACAAAAGCATTGCACGTATTGTCTGACCATCAAGTATCAAATGACAAAAATAACAATTCCTGCTCCTAAGAGTCCTCTCCGTTTTCCCCTACAATGAAATGGAATCAGAAACATGAAGCCTATTTGCTACAAACAAAAAGAAATGACCCTGAAACTCTTGTGAAAGCTGCTCAAATGGTCCGAGGTGCATTTAAACACAGTTTCTTTGCAAAAGGTACGTTCAACATTCCACACATTCTGCCTTTCCTTCACGAGCCCCTCTGCCAAAGCAGATATGGTTTCCTTCCTGGAAATCCTTTTTCACACACCCCTTTTTGGAGACCAAGAGCAATAAAAGTGGCCTGTTAAATCATGAGTGTGCGTGATCAGACTGCAAGTCTGAAGTCTCCCACCAGCTTAATCTGTACAGTGGTTTAGCTCAGATGAGGGAAGTTAAGTAAGACTAGACAGTTGCCTCAGCTGAAGTGGTTCAACTTTATCAGATGCAACAGAAAAATGTACAGGAAGACAAATGCAAAACTTGAGAAGGACCAACAGAGTATGTATTATAAAACTAAAGTTGGCTTACCTTTGGCGTGTGGTTTTGAAACATCAGATTCCTCTAGAAGCTTGGCTGATGAGGAGAGGAGAGAAGAGGAGGTGACTTCCTCACAGCCAGATGAACATTAACAGGCAAACGTTTGCAGCTCCTCCTCCTATCTGACCATCCTCTCGTGCAAGCCACACCTCCCTCCATCACATACATTGAAGAAACAGACCTTCTGGTGCACCTTTGTGCATACAAATAGTCTGTTTGCACTACGTTGTACGTCAATTGATTCAGACAACGAACTGGGAAATTGATTGAAATTGTTGAAGTATTGTGGAAGATGGTGAACACACAACACTTTGTTTTTATTCTATAAGGAAACTCTATTAATCAAGAGACCTAATAGAATGTATAATCTGTGTTTGCTTACGTAAGCAGTAGAATGCTTATTTAAAGTCTTTTATCTGAATCACTCTGGGGGATTTGACGAGGATTTGTAATGCATAAACCAGCCCAGACGACTAACTTACGTTGGAGGTTAATGTGAGCTGCTGTCACAGTTGGGAGTTCACCAGGGTGGAGTTTGAGCCGGCAGTTTAGAGTCACCAAGAAAATGTTCAGTGGTCTGTCACAGTGGCTCAGTATGCAAATATAGCAGCACTTTTACAGCTCGCACCATCATAGATTAGATGGAGTCATGATCTGATGAGAATTTACACTCACACTCAGATGTGAGCATGTTGTGGGCGTTTTTTTCACTGTAAGTCAAACTAAACATTTTTAGAACGTTTGTAACGTATGTTGCTTATTCTTTTTTTTAAATAATTGTTATTTTAATAATAATAAAATTTATTTTATAAATATCTTTATTTTCAATACTTAAATCATGTAGTGCTGTATACTGTGTTGTTGCTTCTAAATTCTAAAAATTAAACTGACTTTAAAATGATGTCGACTTATGTTTTCTATTAAATCCTGTTTATATATATATATATATATATATAATTCTTGCATAATTCTATCTGTATATAGATAATCTTGTACATACATATTTATCTAGTTTGTGTGTAATTTTATTATCTGTTGTTTTTTATTATTTTTTTTATAAATTTTATATTATTTTATTTTAATTTTACTTCACCAAGACTAATTCTTTGAGTGTAAGCAATAAATGTGTGTATACTTGGAAATAGAATATAATGTCAAATATAATATAATATAATGAATATAATAATTATATTGATTCTAATAATCACAATCAGAAAGAGCTTTATTGCAAGGTATGTTTACACATATGAGGAATTAGTTTTGGTGACAGAAGCTTCCACAGCACAAACAGAATGACAGTGACTAGACAGATAATAAAAAGAATAAAAATAGAATAAGTAAATAGGAAATAACAATATGCAAAAAAATATTTAAAAACAAATTCACAATATACAAAGTAAACAATAGATGGTATTTGTGTGTACAGGGGTGTTATGTACAAATGCAAGGAAATGTAAAAAAAAGAATGGTGTGTTAAATAAATAATGAATAATAGTGTTGTGTATTACATGTTTCATCATGAGATGGATTGCCTGAGGGAAGAAACTGATCTTATGATCTTGGTGCTCTGTAGCGCCGACCAGATGGCAACAGTTCAAAGAGGAAGTGGCCCGGGTGTGAGGGGTCCAGAGTGATTTTATCAGCTCTTTTACTCACTCTGGATGAGTGCATTTCTTGGAGAGTGGGGAGGGTTGTGCCAGTGATTCGCTCAGCAGTCCCGACTATCTGCTGCAATCTTCTGAGGTCAGATTTGGTAGCTGAGCTGAACCAGACAGTTACAGAAGTGCAGAGGACCGATTCAGTGACTGCAGAGTAGAACTGTATCAGTGGCAGGTTGAACGTCCTCAGCTGGCGAAAGAAGTACAGCCTCTGCTGGGCCTTCTTGACAATGGAGTCAATGTGAATGTCCCACTTCAGGTCCTGAGAGATGATGGCGCCCAGGAACCTGAATGACTCCACTGCAGTCACAGTGCTGTCCATGATGGTGAGTGGGGGGAGTGCAGGGGGGGTTCCTCCTGAAGTCCACTATCATCGCCACTGTTTTGAGTGTGTTCGGCTCCAGGCTGTTATAACAGCACCAGACAGCCATCTTTTTAACCTCCTGTCTGTAAGCAGACTCGTCTCTGTCCTGGACAGTGTTGCCAACTAATTTTCAGGGGAAGTTGCTAAAGGAAGGTCGATTTGTTGCTAAAAGTTGCTAAATGACGTTGTGATGTCATTGCACGATGACATCATTGTGTAATTATGACGCAAAATTGTGTCACTACATCAAGTCTCAGCAAAAAAAAAATCTTATATATGTTAATTTAGATAAATATAAGGTAATATAATATTAAAATATAACTGTATTTTTAAATACAACATTGAATTATTGAACACTTACACATTTTTGAACAATTACAATTTAAGTTTTTTTTATTGGCTAGTAAACTAGTAAAACTACAAATTCTGAAGTTATAGTTTTAAGCAGTGTATTAGTAGTTAGTGTGCTACACTTTAAGAAAAGTCTGTAAAAATAGGGCA